ATGCCGGTGAGAACAGTCCCCAGAGAATAATACCGCTCGGGGTCTTTTTTTCCAGGAGATATTGATGTTAGGATGCCTGGATCGATCTTCAAGATGGGCCTTCAAGATCCTCAATCTTCAAACAACCAGTCGGTATCGGTAATCCCTGACCCCCGACGTCGTGATTTTTTCAACGTCGACAACCAGAGGTCTGTACTCCTTCCCTGGGACCGGTTTTGCATTCTGCGTCGTTTTTGGACGGTCCCGTGGCCCAGCAAGGGCCCGCGGAGGCCGAAAATATTGAAAAACCTCCCGTCGAGATTTTTTCACAGCGCGAGGGGGTCTTGGACTTGGGGTTCTCCGAAGTGCGCAGGGAGCCCAGGCCTCCGACGTCTTGAGTCTTTCACTGCGGGGTCCCTGGAGCTCTGGGCCCACTTCCTGGGCCCCTGGCCTGGCCCTCGCCCCGGACCGTCCTTGGGCGGCTCCCTGGGCCTTTCGCGAGGGGCCCCTTCTAAGGGCCCTTCGAGGAGGGCGCTTCGAGGGCACTTCGAGGGCCTTCGATGGACCCTTCGAGGGACCCTTCGAGGGCCCCTGAGCTTTTCTCGAGCTCCTTTGACGTCGATTTCCGCCCTACTTTGCCGCCGCTGCTTCCGCCATACCTTTGCGGAAAGAGCCGCTCTTCTGCTCCGAGGCGGAAAGATCCGCTCTATTGTCGCTGCGTTCGGGGCGCATTCCCGACGTACACTCAGAATATTTGGCTCAGCGTGTCGCTCCGCTGGTCCTGGCCCACCACGATTCGTCGCGACACGCAGTCCACGTCGCGGTCCCCGGGCGTCAGGTCCCGAGCTTCCCCGAGCTTCCCGTCCCGCGGAGCGGAGCGCTAGCCGCTCGCAGGGCATAGCGTGTCGCCGGGGCCGCCGCGGCCGCCGCGGCGGCACGCCAAGCAAACGTTCCTGACCGTGGAGCATCCCAGGGGCGCGAAGACAGCCGCGCTTCGCGCGCCGCGCCCTGGGCCGGAGAGCTGGCCTTCTCCAGGCGGGCGGCGCGGGGGCGCGAAGGTAGCCGCGCGCTGGGCACCGCGAGGCGAGATGCGCGGAGTCAAGGGAGGAAAAACCACCTGGACCGGACAAATGGCGTTTACCAGACGGCCCTGGGCGTTTATTAAACAGCCCTGCCCTGTTTGATTCCTTCTTTGAGCGCGTTTACTAAACTGCTTCGCGTGCCCGGGTGCTCAGTATCGGGGTGGATTTTCTGCTCTCCGCGGAGGTGGGTGGCCCAGACACCTGGGTGCGCGCCCTGCGAGAGCTTGCGCGCACCGTGCCGCCGCCACCAGTTGATCCGGAGTCGATGGTGATAATAATGATGATGACGATGATGATGATGATGATGATGATGATGATGATGATGATGGTGATGATGGTGATGATGGTGATGGTGATGGTGATGATGATGATGGTGATGGTGATGATGATGATGATGCTGATGGTAATGGTGATGGTGATGGTGATGGTGATGATGGTGATAGTGATGATAATGATGATGGTGATGATGGTGCTGATGATGACAGTGATGGTGATGATGGTGATGGTAATGATGATGATGGTGACGGCGATGATGGTGATGATGATACTGATGATGATGATGGTGATGATGATGATGGTGATGGTGATGGTGATGGTGATAAGGGTGATGGTGATGATAATGATGATGGTGATGATGGTGATGATGACGGTGATGGTGATGATGGTGATGGTGGTGATGGTGGTGATGATGGTGACGGTGATGATGGTGATAACGATGTTGATGACGATGGTGATGGTGATGGTGATGGCAAGAGTGATGGTGATAGTGATGATGATAATGATGATGGTGATGGCGATGGTGATGATGGTGATGGTGATGATGATGATACTGATGCGGATGATGATGATGATGATGATGATGATGATGATGATGACGATGGTGATGGTGATGATAATGATGATAATGGTGATGATGATGGTGATGATGGTGTTGGTGATGGTGTTGATTGTGATGTTGATGAGGATGGCGATGATGATGATGATGGTGATGATGAGGATGAGGATGAGAATGAGGATGATGATCAGGATGAGGATGATGATGCTGATAATGACGATGCTTCCCATGATAACGACGACGACGAGGGCGACGACGACGACGATGATGATAATGATGATAGTGAAGGTAGTGATGATGATGGTAGTGGTGGTCATGATGATGGGGAGGGTGATGATGATGACGACGCTGATGGTGATGATGATTATGACGATGACGATGACCATGACGACGATGATGATGATGACGATGATGATGATGGTAATGATGGGAGTAGTGGTGATGATTATGTTATCGGTGACGTTGAGGATCAGGATGGTGGTGATAATGGTTGTGGTGATGATGATGCTGCTGATGAAGATGATAATACTGGTGATGATGGTGGCGACGACGACGAGATGATGCTGATGATAATGATGATGTTGATGCTGATGCTGATGCTGATGGTTGAAGTGATAATGATTATGATAGTGGTGGTAATGATGATGTTGTTAGTCATGGTGAGGATGACGATGACGATGATGATGAGGATTACGATGATGATTGCGGTGGTGATGATATTGATGCTGATAATGATGCCAGTGATGATGGTGAAGCTGATGATGCTGGTGGTGATGATGATGTTGATGTTGATGATAATGCTGATGCTGATGATGACGACGACGAGGAGGAGGATTATGCTGATGCAGATGGTGATGATGCTGCTGATGATGTTGGTGATGATGATGATGATCCTGATGGTGATGGTGATGATAATAATGAGAGTCGTGATAATGATGATGATACCGATGATGATGATGATGATGCTGATGATGACGATGATGATGACGGTGACAAGTATGATGATGCTGATGCTGATGCTGATGCTGATGCTGATGCCTCTGCTGTTACTGATGATGATGACGACGACGACGATGATGATGATGACGATGTTGATGATGATGATGATGATGATGATGATGATGGTGGTGATGATGATGATGATGATGATGATGATGATGATGATGATGATGATGATGATGATGATGATGATGATGGGTGGTGGTGGTGGTCACTGCATAAGGGAAACAGAATCCCGAGCAGAGCAACACGCACCACGACCACGACGACGCCGACGACGACGACGACGGAGACGAGGCGCGCTTACGATCCGCACCGAAGCACGGATTTGGGAAAGGGCCCACCCTGCAGGTTCGGTTAAACAGCACATCGTTGAGCGGTGCTGCAGCCTCCCCTGAGCACAGGCCCCCCCAGAGCATCAGCCAGACAAGTCGGGTTTGCACCCTCATGCCTTGCTGGACTCTGGGCGCGTTTCGGCACCCTCTCCCCCAACCTCGTCAGGGCCACCGACAAGGGAGAGGGCGGCGGTGGCCGACGCGTCCCCGAGCTAAGAAGCTCAAAGCGCCGCGGCTCAGAGAGCCGGGAAGACAGACAGACGGACGGACGGACGGACAGCCAGGCGGCGTGCAATGCCTGGCAAGCCAAGTGGGTGGTCACTGCATAAGGGAAACAGAATCCCGAGCAGAGCAACACGCACCACGACCACGACGACGCCGACGACGACGACGACGACGAGACGAGGCGCGCTTACGATCCGCACCGAAGCACGGATTTGGGAAAGGGCCCACCCTGCAGGTTCGGTTAAACAGCACATCGTTGAGCGGTGCTGCAGCCTCCCCTGAGCACAGGCCCCCCCAGAGCATCAGCCAGACAAGTCGGGTTTGCACCCTCATGCCTTGCTGGACTCTGGGCGCGTTTCGGCACCCTCTCCCCCAACCTCGTCAGGGCCACCGACAAGGGAGAGGGCGGCGGTGGCCGACGCGTCCCCGAGTTAAGAAGCTCAAAGCGCCGCGGCTCAGAGAGCCAGGACAACAGACAGACAGACGGACGGACGGACAGCCAGGCGGCGTGCAATGCCTGGCAAACCAAGTGGGTGGACACCTTGTCCCTCTCACTTGTCGGTGGCCCTGACGAGGTTGGGGGAGAGGGTGCCGAAACGCGCCCAGAGTCCAGCAAGGCATGAGGGTGCAAACCCGACTTGTCTGGCTGATGCTCTGGGGGGGCCTGTGCTCAGGGGAGGCTGCAGCACCGCTCAACGATGTGCTGTTTAACCGAACCTGCAGGGTGGGCCCTTTCCCAAATCCGTGCTTCGGTGCGGATCGTAAGCGCGCCTCGTCTCCGTCGTCGTCGTCGTCGGCGTCGTCGTGGTCGTGGTGCGTGTTGCTCTGCTCGGGATTCTGTTTCCCTTATGCAGTGACCACCCACTTGGCTTGCCAGGCATTGCACGCCGCCTGGCTGTCCGTCCGTCCGTCTGTCTGTCTGTCTTCCCGGCTCTCTGAGCCGCGGCGCTTTGAGCTTCTTAGCTCGGGGACGCGTCGGCCACCGCCGCCCTCTCCCTTGTCGGTGGCCCTGACGAGGTTGGGGGAGAGGGTGCCGAAACGCGCCCAGAGTCCAGCAAGGCATGAGGGTGCAAACCCGACTTGTCTGGCTGATGCTCTGGGGGGGCCTGTGCTCAGGGGAGGCTGCAGCACCGCTCAACGATGTGCTGTTTAACCGAACCTGCATGGTGGGCCCTTTCCCAAATCCGTGTTTCGGTGCGGATCGTAAGCGCGCCTGTGACCATGATGATGATGATGATGATGATGATGATGATGATGATGATGATGATGATGATGATGATGATGATGATGATGATGATGGTGATGGTGATGGTGATGGTGATGGTGATGGTGATGATGATGATGATGATGATGATGATGATGATGATGATGATTTCTGTGGCTGTGCAGCTGCGCGTTTCGGCACAGCCTGGCAAAGGCGGTCGGCCCGTCCAGGGGTCTGCGCGCCTGGCTCCGGACTCGCTTGCAAAGCCCTCTCGAGCCGACGCTCGAACCACGACTGCTACGGCGGATCTGGAGTCGAGCTTCCCCCCTCCGCGGCGCCAGGTGGGCGTCCCGGCGGCAGCCGCCGCCCCCGCGGCCGCCGCCGGCCCCGAAGAGGAGCCGTTGGAGGAGGCCGTTGGACTCGGGCGGGAGGCGCGCTCGAGCGGCGGGGCTTGGGGGGGCAGGGGAGCATCGATTGACAGGCGGAGGGGAGGGGGAGGAGGACAAGTTAGGTGCGCTGGCATCATATCTCACGTCCTACCACTCTCACACCCCTTACCATGGCGTAGATCCCCTCTCGATTCGCACAGTCGGATGTCGTGGCGTAGCGTAGCATAACATGGCATAACATGGTGTTGAAGACCAGCGCGTAGCAAGACATAGCATGGCGTGGCGATGCCCCAGAGTGGGAGGGGCTTCTGCGGCCCAAAAAATCAACAAAACGACACCGAATGTGTAATCACTTCCAATGGTTTTTTCGGGGGGGTATTTTCTAGATTTTGGGGCTTCTTCGGAAGGACCGAAAACAATGCCATGGCATGGCACTGGAAATACTGAGGCCAGAGCTGCAGCGGGAGCACGTTCCGGAACGAGCGGGAACCCGACAATGAGGCCAGCGCCTCAGCGGGAACAGCATTTTGAAAAACAAACAGTTCCCTGGAATCCTGTTTGTTAAAAAACTGTACGCGGAGGGGGGGCGAGTATCTTCTGGACGTCATCAGGGGAGAGAGGAGAGTAGTATCCATATGGTGTAATTGTGGAGGAGGAGGAGGAGGAGGAAGAAGAGCAGCAGAGCAGCGCCGATGATCCGATGAAGTCAATCGCCTTGAGACAACCGCACCCTGCAGGGCCACAAGGAAAACAAAAAAACGGATCGGGCGTTCGAGAACCACTTGAGGGGCCCGAGATTCTGTGGGGCCCTGCAGGGGGATTCCACTGGCATACGAACGAGACCCCCAAATCGGGAACACCTAGGGGGCTCGCCTATGCACTCCCTCCACTGAGCAGGGCCGAGGGACGGCGACGCATTAAACCGACCCCAGCACAACCCCTTTCAGCCCTCCTCGACGCGGCGCGGCACGGCCCAAACGTCCGAGGTCCGCAGGGAACCCGAGAGACGACCCTCGCCCAAGGAACTCGCCGCCAGCCGAAGCTGGCGGGAGGCCTCCGAAAGCCTCTGGAGCGTCTCTGCGCCGAAGGAGGCCTGAATGGGGGGGGTCCTAAAGAAAAGTCTAACCTCCAGGGCCCCATCCGAGTACTCGAGGATCGGGGAGAGGGTCCGAGCCTGGAGGGCGAGGAGGGTTCCGTCTGGGAGGCGGCCCTGGAGGTACAGCTCAGCGGTACGGCGTGAGCCATTGACGGATTGCAGCCTGAAACGGGCAGGTCGACTCAGAGCTCGTCGTCGTCCTTGTCCTTGTCCCTGTCGTCGGGCGCCGCCGCTGGTTTGTCCTTCATCCCAAGCTGCGCCAGCAGCTTGGAGGCCTCGCGCTCCAGACCGCCTCTCGGCGGCGCCCCAGGGAGAAAGCGCACGGTCTGGTCCTTCTTGTCTGTGCCTGCCGCCATGACCGTCTGCTGGACCGCCTCCATCAGTGAAGCTGCGCCGTCGCCCCAAGGGTTCGCCTGCTGCGGGATGCCGAGCATGATCTGGAGCTTGAACCTGTCGGGCTTGGTGAGCTTCTTCTTGTCGTACCAGCAGGCCTTGAGTCGGAAGTGGCGGCTATGGATCGCCAGCGTCTCGAGCGCCGACGGGGCTAGGATGACCTTCCGCCAGTAGTCCTGGAACACCGTCTGCGCTGCCGCTGGAGTCGTGCTGGCCCCCTCCGTGCTGCAGGCCCACTTGATGAACGCCTTGAACACGTGCGGCCAGGGGGGGCCGTGCTGGTGGTCCTTGCCGTCGGCCTTGCAGTTCTCGGCGTACGTCTTGCCCGTCTCCTGCAGCACCTTGACGAACGGAACCTCTGCCCCGACCATGTACGAGGTGTAGCAGGCGCCAGTCACCTCGGCCAGCTCGCGCGCGTTGGTGAGGGCGAGCCTCGTGAGGACAACCAAGAGCGCCGCCAGCGCTCCTCCCTTGCCGTTCTTCTGGTTGGCCTGCGCCTCTTGTCCGAGCTCCGCGAGCAATCGGGCCTGCTTGGCACCCTTGGAGTCGCTGGTCCCCTGGCCCTTGCGTTTCCCGACCGCCCAGCTGGGCTCGTCGAGATCCATCACCTCCAAGCACGAGCGGGAGGTCCTCGAAATGGATGCGCGTATGGAGGTGGAGAGCAGGCTCGGAAAGAACTTGAGCCTCACATAGTCGGCAACGGAATGGGCCTGTCGGCGGGGCGAGCTCGAGAGTGGTACTGAGCTGAACCTTGCAGAAGCCCGAAGCGAACGAGTCCAGCACGTGGTTGTAAGCCGAGTTGCGAGACTGGAACCTGCTGCCACACACGAAGCACGAAGCGCCCTGGACAGCCTCAGCCAACAGGGTTTTGTAACCATGAGCGGCCCGAACGTGAACCAGCCACTGACGTTTCGTAAGGAACCATTTGGCGCAGTTCCCGATGGAGCAGCGAAAGCCCTCACCTTGTCCAGCGGGGGTCTCAGGTGGTGCCTCTTGATGGGGACCAGAAGTGCCTGCAGGAGGGATGCTGACCGAGAGCCACGCGGCCCTGACGACCGAGAGGTCCAGCTCTGTGAACCAGTCCCGCAAGTCCCCCTCCTCGAGAAACTCCAAAGGGGCTCCTGACCAGGAACGCATATCCTCCTCAGTGTCCACAGACGTCCTCCGAAGCGCCTCGAAGTCCCTGACGTACTGGATGGCCCAGGGGTTCGCCGTCTCCGTGAGATGGCCCTCGGGTGTAAGGGTTCGGAGGCCCCGCATTTTCTCGATGTTCATGTCCCCGAAGAGAGGGGCCCACTCGCCTAGATGTCGTGCGGGCTCTCGAGCCCATTGCTGGTACCACCGCAGACGTCTGACACGGAACTCGATCTCGAGAGGAGGGACCCGCCAATACCTCAAGACCGCCTCGGAAGGGACCGAACGAGCGTGGCCCCCCTCCCAAGACGTCGCGGCACCCCTCATAGCTTTGCGCCCGAAGAAGACGACCCGCGCCGTGAGCTGGTCAATCTGGCTGGGGGACGGCAAGAAGGCCTCGCAGGCGGAGCACGCAGGGCCCACGACCCTGGCCAGGAACACGGCTCGTCGCTCGGTGTAGGCGATCCTCCGAGCGTACCAATACTTTCCCATGGAGAAGAAACCCGCCGAGATGGCCGCCAGGCGGGCCGATAGCTCGGCCCGAAATGAACAGTTACCCATGACCTGGCCTCCAAGATGTCAGGAGGAAGAAGAGGAGGAGGAGGAGGAGGAGGAGGAGGAGTGGAGGAGGAGGAGGAGCAGTGCCGCGAGGGAGTAGTACGGCCGCGTTTGTTCGACAGACACCGATGTCATCAGAATCGAGGCGAAGAGGAGAATATGTAGGAGGAGGAGAAGGAGGAGGCGGAGGCACAGGAGGAGGAGGACGACGACGACGAGGAAGAGGAGGATGGACGCCTGGCGCCACTATGCCTTGCGCTCCTCCGCTCCTCAGATTCTGCGCGCGCCACGTGTTCGGGACGGTCGTGGCGCGGAGGGCTCTGCCCCGGTGCCTTCCCCGTTTCGTCCCATGTGAGTGTTCAGGCGTCGAACTTCAGCACTCAGGTACTGAGCGAGCGGGCCTGGGTGCACCCCTCCACCTGGGAGCATGCGGTGCGTCGCCATGGGGAGCCCATCACCAATCTATCGGCGAGAATCGTCGCCGCGTCCATCACCATGCGCGTCACATTTTCCATCATGACTTCTTGCGCAAGTGTTGGGGCAGTGCTCCCATACCCTCTTGCATACACACCGCCAGTCGTCAGTTTGGCTCGGAAGAGCCCCGCAAGGAGAGGAACCTTCGCCCGACACTGACAAAAAGCTGTACGGACGTGCTCCCCGGCTTCAGTGTTTGCACTTGATCGGTTTCAGTGCCTCCTCCCCTGCCCATGGACCCGTCCCCCTCTCGCCCGCTCCGCCCCCGCGCCCGGCACTGCACCGCGGCGGGCGGCGCCGCTGGCAACCGCCGAGCGGAGCGCACGACGATGACGCCGCCGCCGACGACGCCGCCGCCGACGACAACGACGAAGACCACGACGCTGACGACGACGACGGCGACGACGACGACGACGACGACGCGGCGGCGGCGGTGGCGGCGGCGCCGCCGACGCCGACGGCGACGGCAACGTCGACGACAACGACGATGCCGACGCCGCCGCCGCCGCTAGCGACGACGACGACGACGACGACGACGACGACGACGACGACGATGACGACGACGACGACGACGACGACGACGGCGACGACGACGGCGACGGCGACGACGCCGGCGACGGCGGCGGCGGCGGTGGCGGAACCGAGCGCGCCTCCGCGGGGGGTGATCTCCGCCAGGCAGAGGCAGCCAGCGACGGAACCGCCGCGGAGGCCGCCGAGGAGGCCGCCGAAGCGGGGACCGACGAGGAGGCCGCCGAGGAGGCTGCCGAGGGCGACGGGGAGGCCGCCCCCGAGGCGGCGGAGGGGCTCGGCGATGGTGCTGGCGGCGAGGGGGAGGCCAGCCGCGCCGCGGCGGCGGACTCAGGCGCGCGGGGGGGAGGAGGAGGAGGAGGAGGAGGAGGAGGAGGAGGAGGAGGAGAGGAGAGGAGGAGGGAGGAGGAGGAGGGAGGAGGAGGGAGGAGGAGGAGGAGGAGAGGGTGGAGGGGAGGAGGAGAGGAGGAGGGAGGAGGAGGAGGTCTCTCTGCCTCCCCCTCTCCCTTCCCTTCTTGCGCTTGTCTGTCTGTCGATCTACCCCCTCTCCGTTATGTCTATCTGCCGGCGACCCTGAACGGGCTCTAGGGCACAAGTTTGATCAACCCCCCCAGTGCCGACCAGCCTTCGGGGGTGAGGGCGACATCGGTACCGAATTTTCACGGCATCAGCTCACAGCTCACTAGGAGAGGAGGAGGAGAGGAGCAGGAGGACCGGTGTAAAGCCAAGGCGCATCAACGATGTTGCAGTAAACGCTCCCTGCAAATTCCTTCCTCATAGGGCCCAACAAGAATCCATTTTCATTGCGTGAAGTGCCCCATTTGAAAACAACGGTGTAAGGATCTTCAATCGTGCCCAAACACCACTCCTAAGACGTCCTCGTCGCGAATCAAATTGACTGTTGCGTCCCGACAATCCTAAATCATGCCAGAACACCATTCGTGGGATTTCAGCACTGGGAAGCAACGTGACTATTGCTTTTTGACCGTCTTGAATTTTTGCAGAATCGAAACTCCTGGGCCCCAGCCGAGCGAGTCCGTGAAACTGCTGCAAGCTTTCACACGGAAAGTGCACGTGGCGCTTAGGCGGGAGCCACATTCTGAAGAAGAACTAAACCGTCATGTTCGAAATTGCTGCAAACTTTTACGGCGAGTGTGCGCGGTGCTAAGAGGCGAGAGCCGAATTTTGAAAAAGAGCCTCCCTTAATCTTTGAACCGTGGCAATAGTTTACGGATAATGTGCGCGGAGCTAGGGAGAGAGCCACACACATATATATATATATATGTAGATATACACATCTATATATGTGGATACATATGTACATATATACATATATGTACATATAAGACTGCAATCGCGCTTCGAGCCATGCACCTTGGTCCTTGAATTTTTTGGTATGCAGGCGGAATGGCAGGAAGGTGAAGCCGACAATTTAGCGATGACTCCTTGTTGCCTCTTCCGGCATCGCCGTAATGATAATGTTTTTCGTCATCCTTCCTCCATGCTTCTTTTTCCTTCATTCTCGCCATACCCTGCGCATTCTCCCCATCCTCCTGAGCTCTTTTTGCGGAGGTTCCTCCTTGGAGAGCCTCTAGGGGCCTCACACAAGTTGTTCATGCTTTCTTAAGGCCTTCTGGAGGCCTCCTGGGCGTGTTCTGGGGGCCTCTGGGGGCTTCCTCGGGCCACCCTGCCTCCAACCGCGGTCTCCCTGAACGACCGGGTCACGGTTTGGAATGCTTCGGAGAGCGTCTTCGGGCCATCTGGGGCCGCCATGGGGCTCTCTCAGTGCCATTTTGGACCCCTGTTGTGCCGTTTTAGGGCTCTCTTGGACTGCGTGGAAGCCCTTTCGGACGGTTGTGGGGCGATTTCGGAGCCTCCCAGGCGGCTTCGGACGCCTACAAGACCGCCGTTTTGGAGCGCCGGGAGGCCGAAAAGAGGAGAACCCACAAATGCACCAAAAACTCACAGAAAATCAATGATTTGTGCCTCTTGGGGCCTTTTGGGGAGTGCTCTTGGAGGCCTCTTGGGACGTTTCGGAACGATCTTAGGGGGTATGACGGCTTCTTGGGGGTCGTCGTGGACCGTATTGGGGCTCTCTGGGGTCGTTTCGGGAACGCGCCAGAACGCCTGGAACCCGTCTGGGGCCGTCTTCGGGCTCTCGTGAGGTTCTCCAGGGTCGTCTGAAGGGTTGCCCAGAGGCCCGGGGATGGCCAAATTCGTTGGAGGGGGGGAGGCGTTTTTTCCGGCGTCCCACATACAAGTGGCACGTGTGTGCCTAGGCTCATACAAAAAATTGAAGGGGCGTTTGAAGCAGGAGTGAAATGCAACATCGAAGTCACACTCGAGCGCAAGTGGGGTTGCCACACCTTGCGATGTGTGTACCAGGGCCCCCAGGAAGCCTTGGGAGGCCCGACTTGGATACCAGAAGAGGCTCCAGGAGGCCCCAGGATTGTGAGTGTTGTGTGTGTGTTGTGTGTGTGTTGTGTGTGTTGTGTGTGTGTGTTTGTGTGTGTGTTTGTGTGTGTGTTTGTGTGTGTTTGTGTGTGTGTGTGTGTCTGTGTGTGTGTGTCTGTGTCTGTGTCTGTGTCTGTGTCTGTGTCTGTGTCTGTGTCTGTGTCTGTGTCTGTGTGTGTGTGTTTGTGATGTATGCTTCGTGTGGTGCGCGCTTTTTGTGTGTTGTAGGTGTTGTGTGTGTGTGTGTGTTATGTTTGTCTAGCGTGTGATGTGTTGGGCGTGATTTGTGTCTCTGTGTGCATGTAGTTCTGAAGCCCCAGGAGGCCCCAGGAGCCCCAGGCGGCCTCAGGAGGCCCCAGGAGACCCCAGGAGGCTTCAGGAGGCCCCAAGAGGCTCCAGGAGGCCGCAGGAGGCCCCAGGAGGCCCCAGGAGGTTTCAGGACACCCCCAGGAGGCTCCGAGGCGGGGTCTGGGGTGCCAGAAGGTTCAGAAGGCCCAGGAGGCCCCAGGAGGTTCCAGGAGGCCCCCAGGAGGCTCCGAGGCGGGGTCTGGGGCTCGATTTTGGAAGGATTTTTCAAGCGAAACCGCCATTCACTGAGAATCGGGGTCACAATTATTGAAATTACCATGTGTTTTTGAAGGTTTTATGTTAAAATGTTGAATTTCCCATGTGTTTTTGGACCCTGACGTCGCGATCTGCGTGAGGGGTGCCACCGATTTTCAGAATTTCGAGGATGTCCCGAGCGAAACGCCCAGAAAAATCGCGGACGCGTGCGCATTAATCGCCTCTGAGCTCTACTCCCTCGGAGAGGTGCGTATGAGAATATATATATATATATATATATATACACACACAAGACTGCATTGGCTCTTCGCGCCATGCACCTTGTTCCTTGTTAGTTCGAATGCAAGCGGCGTGCGCGCGCGTGGACGTGGGGCCGGCCACCGCCAAGTCGGAGTGGGTCAGGATCTCCCAAGCGGGAGCGACTTGACAACGCCAGCTCTGGCCAGCTCGGGGCGTTTCTGTGCCCAGAGGCGCGAGGAAGTCTCAGGCGACTGGTTGGGGTAGCATGAAGCAGGGCATCCTCCTCCTCGTGCTCTCTTTCTCCTCTTCATCTTCATCCTCTTTCTGCTCTTCCCTCCTTTTCCTAATTCCGCTTCCTTCTTCTCTCCATTTTCTTTTTCTTATATTTCTTCTTGCTTTTCTTCCACTTGCTATTTTCGGCATGCGCGCTGCTGGGCTGCCGGTTTCTTGCAGATGGCGCTCCTGTTGTTTCGTTGCTTCGCTTCTTGTTGTCGCTTCCGATTGTCTCTTGAGGCGTCTAGATGCCTCCAAGACGGCTCCAGATGAGTCCCCTAACGAGCCCCGAAGAGACCCAAGGCTGGCGCAACTGGGGCCCAAGGACGGACAAATGTTGGAAAATCATTGGAAAACGAGGTTTGGGGTCTTTTCGCTCTGCTGCTTCCGATTAGGTCTTGAAGCGTGCAGACAGCTCCAAGACGTTTCCGAATGAGTCCCCAGGCGAGCCCCAAAGAGGCCCAAGGCTGGCGCAACAGGGCCCGGAGATGGCGCAACTCGGCCCGGAGATCGGGGCCCAAGAAAGGACAAATGTAAGAAAGCCATTGGAAAAGCGAGGTTTTTGGTCATCTCGCCTTGTCCCTTCCGATTGGCACTTGAGGCGTCGAGACAGCTCCAAGACGTCTCCAGCTGAGTCCCCTGACGAGCCCCAAAGAGGTCCAAGGCTGGCGCAACAGGGCCCGGAGAGTGGGAAAAGCAGAGAAAACGCAGTAGAAAAACAATGTTTTCGGCTTTCCCGCTTTTTCATTTCCGATTGATTCGGGGGGCGTCCAGACGACCCAAGGATGGCCACAGGGAGGCGCAAGAGAGGCGCGAGGATTGGAATGTCTTTTGGGGGAGGGCGGGGGAAGGGGGCGTTCCCCGGCCCTATACGGCCTAGAGAGGGGGGCCCAGAGATGGACAAATGTAGGAAATCATGGGAAAAGCAATGTTTTTCGTCTTCTCGCCTTGTCGCTTCCGATTGGCTCTTGAGGCGTCCAGATGCCTCCAAGACGGCTCTAGAGGCCCCACGCGAGCCCCAAAGAGGCCGAAGGCAAGCTGGCGCAACAAGACCCAGAGAGTGGGAAAAGCAGAGAAAACGCTGTAAAAAACAATGTTTTCGGCTTTCTCGCTTGTACACCATCGCTTGACTCGGGGGGCGTCAAGGCGACCGCAGGACGGCCACAGCAAGGCGCAAGACAGGCCCGAGGAGGCGAAATTCGTTCGGGGGGGGAGCTGGGGTGTGGGCTCCCTGGCCTTATATCTATGTGTATATATATATGTGTATATGTATATATGTATATATATACATAGTTATACATACATACATACAACAATAATAATAATATTAATAATAATAATTATAATAATAATAATAATAATAATAATAATAATAATAATAATAATAATAATAATAGTAATAATAACAATAACAATAACAATACCAATACGAATGATAATAATAGTAATAATAATACGAAGACTTACAATACGAATAATGATACTAGTAATACAAATAATGATAAGAATAGTAATGATGATACTAATAATAATGATACGAATCATAATAATAATAATAATAATGATAATAATCATAATAATGATGATAAATGCGCGCGGCGCTAAGGCGGGAACCACATTTTGAAGACGGCCCGCTCTCCATCCGTGAAGCTGCTGCAAACGTCAAGCTTCAGGTCATTAATTGTGGCAAAGTCTCAGGCGAAACGCCCAGCCCCTCGTACCGACACGTCAGGGGGTGCGACAGGGAGGAGTTATCTTTCAGGTCAGGGGATGGAGAAGGAGGGAGGATCGAGGACGAGGACG